TATCCGTACCTCGGAGGTAAAGGACACTATGTCCATTTTCTTACTTTTTAAGGAGAGCAGTTTTAACATTTTTTAAATTTGTAATCAGTAAATACTCAAATGTTTCTGATATTTAACCAAAATTACACCAAGATTACACATTTAAAAAATGTTAAAACTGCTCTCCTTAAAAAGTAAGAAAATGGACATAGTGTTCTTTACCTCCGAGGTACGGATATATATATATATATATATATATATATATATATATATATATATATATATATATATATATATATATATATATATATATATATATATATTAATATATAGTAGAGTAGTAGAGGTAGAGTAAATTTTTATTTGCATAAATTTTCAAACATAATTGAGCAAATAACGACACATTATTAATTACAGATTAAAAAAATATATATTGACATCACACATTTAAAATATATTAACATTACAAATTAAATATGCTGATCAAGGAGAAGGATATGCCAGGCACTCCGCCACAGTATAGGACTCAATGTCAACTAGGTGTTGAAAAACATTTCTTTTAAAAGCTCTATAGTGTGTTTCCTGTTTACTGTCAGATGGTAGACTATTATAAAATTTAACACATGCATACAAAGGACTTCTCTCTGTTATAGACAATCTGTGAAGTGGCAAATTCAAATTAAGGCTTCTTGTATTATATTCATGATTGGGAAGCAGGTGATAAAACAAAGAAAATTTTTTAAAAGGAACATAATACATTCAAATATATAGATGGCTGAGAAAGTGAATATATTGAGTGACTTGAATTGGCCTCTACAGGATTCTCCCGTCTTTAGTCCTAAGATCGCCCGGATTGCCTTTTTTTGGACTATAAAGACAGTTGAGCTAGACATATCGCATAACAGAATAAAAGTTTGCATAATATACTGATAGTAAAATCATTAACACTCTTAATGGGTAGCAGGCTCTATTCAGTTTTTTTGTTGTATTTTGTATTTGTTCCTCCAATTCAGATTCTGGTCACTCTATTAAAAGTATGACTTTATTAAAACACCTTTATGCAATGTACTAATTGAAGAGCAACATGGTTTTCTTTCAGGTAGATCAACTTCTACAAATCTTTTACTTTTCACGCAATACATATCTGATGCCTTGGAAAGGAGACTACAGGTGGAAGCTATTTGTACAGATTTCTCCAAAGCATTTGACACTGTGAATCATAAATTGTTGTGTAACAAGTTTAAAACTATTGGATTTACAGGCAATCTGTATAACTGGTTATGTAGTTACCTAACTAGCAGAATGCACTTGTTAAACTTAAACACTTTCAATCTAGTGAGATCTCCGTAACATCTGGTGCTCCACAAGGAAGCCACTTGAGCCTTTCCTTTTTAATAAATTTGGTAATGACATTAAATCTCAAATTAACTCTAAATTTTTGCTATTTGCTGATGATTTAAAAATCTATAGAATTATCGAAGACGTCTCAGATTGTGAAAAACTCCAAATTGATATTAACAAAATTATGGCATGGTGCAATTGGAACCAAATGAGCATTAATGTTGGAAAATGTCACTTTATTAGTTTCTGTAGAAGAATTAACAACCTCTCTTATAATTACAAATTAGCTAAAGAACCACTGAAGACTGTCTCAACTGTAAGAGATCTAGGTGTTCAATTAGATTCTAAACTAAATTTTTGCACTTATTTTGATTATGTGAATAACCAGGCATTTAAAATGTTAGGCTTCATTATTAGAACCTCTAGATGTTTGCATAACATTAATTCCATCAGACTGATTTACAATTCCCTAGTTAGACCTGTTCTTGAGTATTGCTCAGTTGTTTGGTCACCCACTTATGAAGTCCATATAGCCAAGCTTGAAAAAGTCCAAAATAAATTCATCAGGTACTTAAGTTTTAAATTACACAAACCTTTAAGCGCCCATTCCTACTCAGAAATTAGAAATACATTAAACCTTCCTAGGCTATCTTCCAGATGGACGTATGCTGATGTTGTTTCTTCATAAACTACTGAATTCAAAAATTAATTGCATTGATCTACTGTCTCTAATTGACTTTAATGTTCTCTCTAGATTTACTAGAACATCTCATAATTTTGCAATTAAATTTCATCGCTCTAACTTTGGTAGGCATTCTCGACTGAGTAGATTCATTCTAAATGGAAATAGAATAGACTTTGATTTGTTGCTGTGCGCTTCGGAAAATGTCTGTAGAATGTGTTTAAAAAAAATTTTGTAATTTTATGTGATTTATATTTGCTATGTGCTTTATATAATTTTAATATTTGTTTTTTTTTTCTAAACAAATAATATATTCTTTGTGTATATATTAAATTGGGTGGTATCCCGTTAATAAATAAATAAATAAATAAATATGAATACCAAGAAATTTAACTGATCTAGCAGGTTCTGTGTTTTCTGACAGAAAATTAATTGTATCTGGAAACTATTCTTGTGACTGGCTGGTTCTAAAGTACACAAAAACTGTCTTATCAGTATTAAGCAACAACCGATTTCCACTGAATTACTGTTCAGCCTTGCTTAGAATTTGCTCTGCCACTGTGAGGAGTGTTTCTAAAGTTTTTTTTCCAGAAAAACACATTTGTCATAAGCGAAATTTGCAAGGTTTGAGGAACTACTAACCACCACATTTGGTAGGTTGTTTATGTAGGCATATTGTAAAAGTCCCCAGAACACTCCCCTGTGGTATACCTAATATTAAATTGATCGGTTCAGAGTAAACATTACATCCCCTTTTCTCCAGGCATACCTTTTGTGATCTATCTGTGAGAAATAATTTTATCCATTTTAATGCTGGTCCCTGTATTCCATAAAGATGTAATTTTTGTAATAAAAGAACATGATCTAGGCTATCAAAAGCCTTAGATAGGTCCAAAAAAGCACCCAGTGTTTTCATCTTTGCCTTCAATTTTTCTAAAATGTTATAAAATCATAGGTAGCTGTCTCAACAGATCTTCCTGCGAGAAAACCATACTGTGAACTACTAAATAAGTTGTTTGTTGTAAAAAAGTTTTGTAGTCTGAAATATATTGCTTTTTCAAATATTTTTGAGAATGATGGAAGAAGACTTATTGGTCTATATATATACATATATATTTACATATATATATATATATATATATATATATATATATATATATATATATATATATATATATATATATATATATATATATATATAAGGATCACTCAGACGAGTGGTGGGTTCTTATATCGGTCTCTAGGTGGAGAAATAAAAGACAAAGTTGATAGGCTACTTTATCTATTTTGAAGACGTTTCGCTTTCGAGTTTTGAAAGCATCATCAGTTCATCTAAAAAATTTTACAATATGAGAACCACACAATCATGGAAACGATGTTAATTGTTACCTTAAAAACACATGTAGCAGTCAATGTTATTAACAATAATGTGAATGAAACTAAGTAAATGGACATAATACGCTGATTTTGTATAAACAGTTAAGTAACTAACAACATATATGAACTTATAAAAATTAGCACAGCAAATGACCATGTGGTCTAAAGTAAATTCAATGTTATTTAATGTTAATTAGTGAGCAAGAACCAAGAAAATCATAGATAACTTCCAACTATTTAATGAATATTAAGCTTTGATTTTAACTTTAGGTAGCATTATAAGTGATATTAATAAAATTTTAAAAAGTAGTATAAATGAAGTTACCGATCAAAGCCCTATGAATGTCGCCGGGAAAATGGCGTTAAATGAAACAGGAACGAACTAAACCGCGAAAAGACAGCCAACCTTGAGGTCAAAAATACTTTCGACAGATCAACAAGGTGTAGGTACCAACCCAAATTTTGGGCGGTCAATTTAAGTTTAAATGAGTTTGGATGACTACCCGGTTGCAAAAGACAACACAGTGAAAAAAGTTGGTAGTGTAATAGCAACTCCCCTCACTAATCAGTCCAGATTTACAAACAGGAGATTTTCATTCAACCTCATAAGTATGTAATAACGTTAATCATTATGGCTAGTTAAACAGCCACAGGTGGTTAACGATTCGTTAATTTCCAAACAGCCCAAGGTTCAATATACTTGGAACTGTGATTTGCAAAGGATTCTATGAATCAATTACAATATTTGTATTATTTCAGTATAAAATTGTTAACACTAATCAAGGTAATTAGTGTATGGAAACGCAATGTAAGTTGCATATGTAATGGTAAATTAAGTAAAGAATATTAAGTTATTTTATTGAGATATTTATGTATTTTATTTCTATTTTATGTATATAAATTATTTTATGAAAAATGGAAAAAGGTTCAAATAGTACACCTAATATGACATTAATGTAGTGAAAAGATCAAGTAGCCTAATTCTGCAAAATTAAAGCATGATATATTTGGCTCAAGTTACTTATGTCAGTTCTCTTATTCAAAGCATTAGGGTGTTTTAATATTGAACACATTTCCAAAAACTGTCTTTTAGCTAGATTGCGTTCAGTGGCAAGGATCTTAACTTCATTGAAATCCACTTCATGTTTTGTATTTATCGCGTGTTGTGCTAGGGCACAAGTGTGTTTCGATAAATTAATGTCACTACGATGTGAAGTGAGCCGACCTTTTAATGATCTACCAGTTTGGCCAATGTAACATAAATCGCAATTAGCGCATGGAATTTTATAAATTGTGTTCACTTGTTCCAAAGTGGACAAGGGTGTTTTAGTTTTAGAGAACAAATTTCTAACAGTTTTGGCATTCTTAACAGCAATTTTAACAAGTATATTATTTTGTTTATACAATTTAATAAGCTTCTCAGTAACTTGAGGGAAATAAGGTAAAGAAGAATAATGTGTGATAGTATTCTCAAGAACAGTATTATGCAGAACAGTGCTATTTATTGAATTATTTGAGATAAGCCTTCTTCATAAATGTTATTACATTCTGATGATATTCATGATATTCTACATTTTGTTTAATCAGATAAAAAAGTATGGAATAAAAATAAAAAACATACCTTGATTTCCCTGTCCTTTCATCCGCTGATGATTCCATTTATGTAAAAGAAAATAGGAACGTTTTAGACTTACTCAGAAATGCACTTCAAATTTAATTTTATCCTAAAAGGTTTCTGTCAAATGATATTTTGATTTTTACCTGATCTGACACGCCTGCTGACATTGACTAGTCTGTAATAATTTCACTTCTTTAAAATAGTTAGAATCACTACCACTATTGCACTAAAAATTGCCAAACACTTACACTAAAACTCCACTTGCGTCCATTAATAAACAAAATTATTTAACAAAATAAAGAACAGTCTTAGCTCAACAATGATGGCGTTTAGTTAACCTTTCTATCTCTGTACCGCTAACTACGACTACGATCAGGTCTTTTGTCAACTGTCAAACTCGAAATGCTGCAATCAATGACGTCGTATAATATATAGACTCGGTGAACGCACGGTTCGTAGACTTACTACGGTTGCCTCTTCCGACTGGGGAGGGGATGCTTGAGTTACGTCACAGGAGTACACAAGAATACAAAACCCATTTATTCGCGATTGAAACTGAATGTAGAGGGCAGGTCGATTGCAGTGTCATGGCCGATATAAATGGTATAAACAAAAACAAACATAACATTCGAATATTTACCATTGCTTTTCCATGTTTAGTTTGGTTTAAGACGAGTTATTTGTATCATTTAATAATGGAAATTAATCTTAATGATATCTTTGAGTATTGTGGTCAAGCAAAGAGTCCATTGGTTGAAGGGGAAGCAGTTTTCAAGTGATGAATTCCTAAATTTTAACTTTAATGTTTGGAACTGGCTTGTGTATTGATGATGATGAATCCGATTTTGTGTATACCTGGGAACCCAGAATATAATATTCTGTGTAATGTTTGCCTTAACGTATATATGAATCGTCTAATTTCAAAACCGGCCATCTCCACTCAAGTAAGTTATGAGAAAAATGCAAAAAACTGCTGTCAAAAAACTAATGAGTAAAAAATTTGTGTTAATATTATTTTGTGTTTATAGTGATAATACAAAGGCATTTCACTATCATAAAATAATGAGTTTCGTATACACATGCGTAAAAATTAATAAAAAAGTTGGAGATGGCCGGTTTTGAAACTAAGCTAGAGAGTTGGCCGGTTTTGAAAATAACCTATATGGATATGGCCGGTTTTGAAATTACCTGCCGATATCTGGCCTATATTGGTTTAAGTGATAAGCCAGCCATTCTTTCATTTTTATTAACTAATTATTAAACAAGTATAACGCATATGTTCTTAAAGTTTATTTTAAAACACCAAAAAATACAAATACATGGAACTCAAACAAAAGTTTAAAACTAAGAGACAGTTAAATTAGACATAAATATCTCTTTCTTCTATTTCCTCACGCACCAAGTCATCTGTAGGAGCTTCACCTGTAGATTGTTCAACAGTAGCATAGAACTTTAAATTTTCCAACTCTCGCCAGTTTGCTCCATAGTGCGCTTCCAAAAGTGCCGAAACGTCCTTGATTTTCTTGGCATTTGGAGCCATACCAGTTGTTAAAAGAGGAGGAACTAAATTATTGACAGTTTTTCCTTTTTTGACTACTAATTTGTCACTTCCTAGATCGACACGATAAGCCTCCTCACCTCGAATAGTGATATCATTACGTTTTGTGGTCTTCTGTAAAATAAACCTTTTCGAAGGGTTGAATTTAAAGTGCCACTGTCCTGGAGGCTTTATAATTTCCAGTGTGGCACTCTTCCAATCATTTATTTCCAAATTATTTATATTCCAAACAGTTCCATGGTCTTTAAGAATATTTACATATTCTTCAGGTTTTATTATAATTTCAATTTTTCTTAATTTTTTCTCTATTTGAGCGAATACTCTATCGGGTGGTATAAACGAATGACCTACAATGGGAAAGATAACCTGAACTGTTTTAACATTTTCTGGGGCGAACGATACAAGCCATTTTGATAACATCCCCATCAAAGTGGTGTTTTTATTTTGTCCACCACAGCCATTAGCGAAGAAACGGACGGTGTCAATATTTTTTAAATTTGTTTGTCATAATCTGTGGAAAACTGCACTAGCAATTTCGTTGGACCTTTTGGGCCTATCTGTTTCGTTCCAATAATAAATATGAACATTGCTTTTAGTTAAAGCATCATGTGAGCTGCCTACTACAATAGTAAAGTTGTAGAAGTTCCACTGACGACTAAAGTAGGCTCTTTGGTCTGGCACCTTTGGTAGACTCATATTCTTTTGACAATCAAAAGATATAGTGAGCAACCCATCTCTTTTCTCCTGCAGCATATGAAAAAATGCCTTAGCCTTTAACTTGTGCACCCTATGTTGTGTAATTAAATTTTGTTGTTCAGTTGGTTCCTTTTCCGTTTTAATTTTTTCTCCAATTTCTAAGCATTTGGAGCAGACGTCTACTCTGGGAGTTCCAAATCCCAAGTTATACTGTTTGTTAAAAATATTGCGGAAAAATGATTGCTTCACTTTAAGATGTAATTCAACACCTTTGTTGTACATTTTCCACATGGACTTGATGTTGAGCTCAGACGGTAAATATAGCCTAACAATGCGTTTTTGAACGACAGTAATACGGTTCTTGGGCTGTGAAAGATTCGATAAATTTCATAACTGCCATTTTTTTGGAAATATTTTTCGAACTTTTTCGATCGCCTCCCCTTGTTTCTTTTGCTCCACTACCGCCGCATTTAAAAGAACGCTTCATTACCCCTTGGACACGATGCTTTTTAAGAACCAAAATATTTAAATATGCTGTTCTACATACTGGTACTTTTATACCATCTTCTCTTCGAACAAAATATTTAAATGTGTAAGACTTTTCTGAACGGGAAGATGTTTTCGGGCGATGTCGTTTAGGTTTCTCTAGACTAGTATGGTTTAATATAAAATTATCTTGCTGAATTTTGTCCTTGAAACGGTAGAAATTTTCATGGAACGTCAAAATGTCTTGCATTTTTAATGATCTACACTGATAAGCTTTCGTATTGTGTTTACACTTTGGATATTCAGGAAGTTCTTTACTCGAATACCTGCAACAAGAGTAAACTAAGGTCAAACTTATTAATTAAAATTAAAATGTATTTCAATTACTTTAGATGTATTTAATTACGTGATTATACTTTTAATTTCTTATATTTTCAAAAGTATTTCAATTACTTTTTTCCCCAAAATTTAAATACACAATAATTGAAATTTTGAAATACATTTTTTTCATGACTTTAAAATTTCCAATACTTTCACTGTTTTCATTTCTATGTAGAGCTGGCAGTTATAGCAGGTAAATAAAGGTAGGTAGGTAGGTAGGTAAAAGGTACCACTGGCGCCGACTACGTGGGTGCTGCGGTGCCCGCGCCCCGGACAGGTAAATCTGTCCGGTGCGAAGCACCGGACGCCGATGGAGGATGGAGTTGAATTTTCTGTCGGCGAACGATACATGGAGAGGAAATTTCTCGCCCGCCCACCCTGCGCGCTTCGGGTTGAATTCTCGGACGTGCATCGTGCATCCTTCACTTGCTGGTTTTGTGTGTTTATTCAATGTTGCAAGATAAACCAGTCGAATATATTTCAATTTGTCAGGCATACGGTGCGTTTTTTTTTTGGTGAGGGGATGTGCCATCACTGTACATATATTAAGACAGGTAAGTACAAAGGGGAAATATTTGAAGCGTTTATTTGAAAAACAACATGTTATTGTCCAATAAATAAAATTTTGGCAAATCCAGAAAAACTGCCCAGCTTCAATCTATTTCAAATCTTTCTTTTACTAAGATATTCATTGGAAGGAATGTGGATATCACAATAGTTGTACAAGTTGATTTCATATTTTTATTGATATATTAAACAAAAATCGGTAGAAACTTAGCGAAATAATCTATCATCTATAATATTCATAACATTAGAGGAGGTATTGTGTTGAACAGTTTCTGTCATGCTGAACTAGTTTTCTATTACAAAAGAAACAAACATCACCTGTTATTAACAAAGAACGCACACAACTTATTGAACTGATAAATTTATAGACAAAATCATTCACGCTTAGCGATAACCGTTGATTAAGATGGGACAAGTGTTGCTTTTACAACATACCGCTTGGATATCTGTTGTTTTTCTAAAACTATCCGAATATTCTATGTAGTTTACTCCGGACATTTGGGATTTTTACACAACTGAATGTGCGAGATCGATAAAAACTACTATTTTATGCGAACAACATATAAAGTAAAATTTTCAAAAAATGAACATGCGTTGTTTTTCAAATAAACGCTTCAATTGTGTATTAAAATGCTTTTGTTTTGTGACAACACGAATGAAGTGTGAAATTTCCATTCTAGATTCCTGATTACTAGAAATGGATAAGTTCATAATACGTACTCCGATACAAACTCATCAGGCTACGAGGATTAAACAACCTGTTCCAGTTCCATCGACATCTGTTGAGAGTTACAATGGTAGTAAAACCATAACGTCTAGTGGAAAGAAGGGCAGACAGTTTCGTGACACGTGGAGTGTCACTTATCCATGGATAACATATGACAGTACACTCGATAAAATTTTTTGTACTATTTGCAAAACAGCAGCCGCATTGAAGCTGCCAATAGCATCGACTGGAATAAATTCGCAGAGAGTCTTATCAACTTACGTTACAGAAGGTTTCAACTCGTGGGGTAAAGCGTTAGAGAGATTCAAGGATCACGAAAAGTCAGAATTTCACAGACATTCGGCGCTATCATTGAGACAGAACGATCAAGGCGTAAACGTCGCAAATATGTTGTCAAAGGCTAAATTGAAAGACATGACCGATGCAAGAAAATGTCTTCTCACAATATTTTCCACTATTAAATACTTGACTGTTCAGGGTATTGCTATCAGAGGACACTTCGATAGGACATCAAACTTCAATAATCTGCTTCATTTAAGAGCTAACGATATTCCAGAACTGCAGTCTTGGTTGGGCAGAACAGGATATAAATGGTTATCTCATGATATTTCGAATGAAGTAATGTCCATTTTATCGAATGCCTTTCAGAGAATTATTCATGACCGTGGCCGTTCGCAAGAATTTTTTTCAATAATTGCTGACGAAACATCAGACATTTCAGTGAGCGAACAAATGTCTTTCTGCTTGAGAAG